GGTATATGCGAAAGCAAAACTGGTTTTAGGAAGACGATGAGGGAATCTAGGTCAGGCTTAAGTGCAGAAATAACGTCGAACGGGAGAGTTAAAATGGAATCGTGTTTGGGGTATAGTGCTGAGCGAAACTTCGTCAAGCGGAGTCAGTTGAAATGCAAAGATGTTCCATCGCATCATGTAAGCAGTAGTTCAGTGAACTTCAGTTTAAGCTGCAATTATTACATTATGAGTTTTATTAACAACGTCTTGTGGAACTTGCGGCAATTTGAGTCATATAATCTAGTGAAAAAATAACTAAGTGGGAGAAGGATCGGGATGAAATTGAAAGATATTGGTGAATTTCCAGTTTATTATTTCATATGCTCAACTATTCTACTATGACCAGGACCGGATATCAGGGATAGGTAGTGTGATATGCATTAAGCTGTTAATTCGCCTTTTATAGCCCTGGTTTGCGGTGGTTTTGGCTGGTCTCTTATTTTGGCTTATTAAAGTTAACAAAAAAAATTTTTTTTTGGATTTTTATTGTTTCCTTGTTGTTTGAAACTGCAACTGTTCTTCATACTTCTTTAATGACCTTGAGTTTTTAGGGTCATAGGAAACGCTTTTTCCCGGACACATTGAGTGCTGAAGGTTCCAGCGGAAAATTTCCACCGAGGGCGATGAGAAGCGCTGCAACTCCTGAAACATTTGACAGTTCTAATGGTATTCTTCCCACTTCATACGAGATTTTAACAAGTTTATAATTTTATTAAGTTTCGATGTATTGTTAGCGTCTTTATTTAGTGTTTTTCAACTTTGCGGAATTCAGGAAGATTGTGAGTTTCATCCATTATAAAGTCAGGAAAAAACGTTTCTGAAAGCTTTCCGGTTATAATTGATTTGTTTTGAAGGACATTGAGGCCTCCTTTACAGATTATCGAAGCAGACAGGATTATAGGTGCGCTAAAAAGACGCTTAGGAGGTCGGCAGTCTTAGATTGTTTGAAAAAAACAAACTTACCGGTTAGTTATCAAAGTATATTATTTAGTGGGATTTCTTATTTCTTTTTTTGGCATGGACATTTTTTCTTTTGTAGGCGTTCTTGACTAACTTTTTTCTTTACTGATGGTCGGGGATGGGGTGATTTGGACTTAGATATTATACTTTTTGTCACGCAAAACCGTGGTCCACCTAAATCTCTTTGGTGCAGCAATCAAATTTTTTAACTAATGTGTACATCTTCTGCGGAGTTGTTTTCTTTCAACTGCTTTTTCAGGCGTTTTTGTCTTTTTTGGATTCAGTTCCGTACGTGTTTCATACTCATATTAGCCATGTGCTGTGTATTGAAATTTTTGCTTTAGGACGACTGCGAATTAGTTGTGTTAGATGTCGGTCCAACGGGAAAACAAATGATTGTTCAAGACTTCGAAAAATTTAGGGAAAAGGTAAGTTTTCAAGGGTCTGGTGATTTGAACTATGTTTATCTGTCTTTATGCATCCGGAATGTATTTCATGCTATCTGAAGCAACTGTCTAGGTTGGTTCTTGTCAGTTGTTTTCCGGTTACGAATCCGATTACTATAAACAGTTGGCAGTGGTTGTACCCAAAGAGTTGAAAAACAAGGTAGGCTCTTAAACGAGTTAGAATATTTGAGAAATGTTTCAAAAAGTTGCCTTTACTTTTACTTTCTTTGGAATTCGTTAATTTTTAGCTCCTAAAACTCGCAGACGAAATGACAGAGCCCTTGCTGGAGAGTACACAGAGAAACACTTTTGAGATTGACGTTCCCAACACAAACTACAAGGTATGTTAATAAATAGTAAATTTTCTGTTACTGTTTGCTCAGGTATTTGATTATCTAAAGTCTATGAAGTAGTTATCTGTCTTTTACAAATAGCTCTTGCTTCATGTTACCGCAAGTGAAAGGATTTTTCAATTCTCTTTGCCTTTGCTCGGAGGATACTCTTTTCCTTTTTTAAGATACATTTTGGTTCGGGGTTTACACCACTTGAAGTGCTCTTTCCGGGAGATTTTTGTTCCCTTTCTATTGGAAACCTTCCGGTTTCGTGGGAAAGCCAGACAGAGTTTCCCGAGTCTTTTGACAGCAAACTTGTTTCCGTAATTTCTCTCCACTTTTTATTTCAATATTTTCTTCGCTATGTTGTCAAAGCACTTTCCAAAATTTAAAATTATTGATTAGTCTAATGTTTGGCCAAAAGAGTTTGTTTCATTGTGGTTTTTGCAGTTAGGTGCTACCAATATTGTCAGGTACAGTCCCACATTAAAAAAATTATTTGATGCCTCTGGTCTTATACGGTTTGGAAGTAAAGAAGCAGCTTCTGCTGCTCTTAATAAGCTGAAAACGGATGGAAGTCAACACGACTTTTTTTATGAGGTAAATTTTGTGAAGATGACTTGAATGCTGTGCCGTGAGTTTTCTTTCAGAGTTTGTTTTTTCAGGTTTTGTTGGCTATTCGTGTAGATTTAATTTTTATTTCGAACGCCATTTGCTTTTTGGTGCATTTTAATTTTTTTTTATTATATGTGTATAGGCTATTTCAAATCAAATTACGCACTTTTTTTTACTTAATCCCCGAAAAATTTGAAATTTTGCTAGCTTCAAGGGCCTGGTATCCGACTGCAAAATTTAAGAAGAGTACTTTGAAAGGCACACTGCTGCAAAGTTGTGTCGCTTTAAAAAGCAAAAAAGAAAGCAGTTTTTACTAAATAGAGCCGTCTTTGAGAATGCATGATTTTGTTTCGCTCAGAACAGATATTTAAATTTTTTTTTGAAATTTTGTTTCACATAGGTTTAGAACAGTGTTGAAGCACGCATTTTAAAGAATTACATGAAAATTAAAGTGAAAGTAAAAATCCAGGATGCTCTGTGTAGAAATGCGTCATTTTAAATTTTTGGAAGATGTTTTAAGGAAATAATTTTTGTATAACGTGTTCAAATTACAAAGCAGCACCTTTGTGGCGTCATGAGATACAGTTTGATTAGTGAGACTATGCTGCAAAAAATCTTCACTAGCGCGGTATTTCGTACCTCACCCTAATTTTAGCTGAACCGTAATCATGCTTCACTCTGGACATCTCAGCAACGGATATACAGTCACAAATCTTCTGTAATTAAGTGGTTTAAAAGAACAATTTCAAAAGAATTCATGATGAACACTATTCATCAGTGCCACTTTGCTTCAAAATTTTGTGAATCCTCAGAGTAAGCTTTCACAAAGAAAAAGAAGTCAAAAAATTTTTTTCTAAACGAACAAAATCACCAGTTATTGAAGATGGTCCTGTTTGGCGAAAACTTTTTAGCACTTTAGGACGGTCTAAGTTTGTCGTCACTGCACTTTGTAAGGTACACTTCTGATTCCGTAGTCAGAAATTAAGTTTTATGAATCAGCGAAAGCGTAGTAATCTTTGAGGGACTGAATATATCTTTATATACATTGACAGCTACAAAACTGGGAAAGTTTAGAAAGCTATGAAGGAAGAATTTTAATATTTATAACTGTAAACATTATTATCCTCAAATTACGGGTGTTACTGTATTTCGAGGCGTAATTGTTGCGATCTCATTTGGCTTGAATACGAAATAAAGTCGTCAGCACATTTCCAAGGTGTAAGCAGTCAAATGTGGAATGCAGGGTGTTGGTTATTTTTTCCTTAAGACGCAGCGGCTAAAAAAAATGTTTTACAAGTTTTAGGGACGGGAGGATACAGTCACAGTAGATCACAAAAGACCTTTCACAGTGCAAGATAATGTTGTTCAGTGGCTCACCGTCCCGTTGGGTAGCCTTCACCCTTACTGACAGCTTCACAGCGAATGTGCATTTTGCTAATATGCTGAGGTTGGGATGTTTCGCTATGTATTGCTAAGTAACTCCTTCAACACTTTGAAAGCACGTGTCCTTTCTGTTGCGAACAACTGCCTTAACCTGAATTCAGGACCTCCAGCCAAATTTCTGCAGATTTTTAGTACTTCAGAACAATGCGAGTAGCATGAGTAAAAGTTGTTTTGAAATTGCCAGGCAATTTCGCCCTGCAGCCGGTTGTTTGTAGATTCGCTGTTTGCAGCATCTAGGTGGCTGTGTTATCTTGTTTTTTACTGATAAGTTCAACAAGTTCGGAGTGCAGTAATTAGAAAGTCGAAGCAAACTTGGAAGCAGAATCTTACTGCTTTCTATTTTTCAAGCTCTTTTAATGCTCTTTTTTGACCTCTTGGCCGTTTGAAAGTTGGTAGCAAAAACTTTGTAAGCTTTGGTTAACGGCAAACAAAGCATGTGTGGAAATCCTCGTGCCCGTAAGAGGCACAAAAAGTGGCTTCTAAAATACAGCAACACCTTTTAGCTTATGTGAAGGAAAAACAGCAGTAGGTTCAAGGTAGAAACTATTACGTTAAATGTAGCATTGTTACCTGTAAATTAGCCAGAATAAAAAAGAAAAATAAGAGTTTTTTCTTGGTAAATCTGTACGCTGCGCGCAACTGGAGACATTTTTTTATTTATTTTTCTTACATTATTCTCTATTTCAACCTCAGTAGGGGTGTTTTTTTGCAAAGAACTGGGTCAAAGGTTAAAATTTTCTTGGCATTCTGATGTGTCTGTTGCCATTTTATTTAGTTTTGGGGGGACGGAAAGAGATATCATCATTCCAGCTTATTTTGATCTGCTTAAATCAGGTTTTATTTTGAGATATTAAAGCCTTTGACCAGATCCTTGGAAGGTTCGTAGTGGATTTTGAATAGTTTTTAAATCTTTTATCACTTTATTCGTTGGCGAGGATAACTTTTCTTATGCTGCAAAAACCATATTTTGCTTCTAGGAAATGTTGCTGCACATTTTAATCTCAATTTTTTCAGCCACTGACAAATATGAAAGTGACTAGCAGACCGTTATTCCGTTGTTTAGAAAGGTATGAAATGCGTCTGAAGTGGTGGCGTCGACCCAGCAGGAGGATTCTAGTGCTCAAGGCAACTTTTCTGCTCATTAACATACTTTTTATCAACATTAATTTGTTTTATTGTGGATAGAGTTTTTTAGTTATCAGCTGCAAATGAGACAGCGCGTGTGGCTTCAGTACAGGTGTTGCAAAAGTTGGGCTTCTTTTGTTATGAGGTAACCGTGTTTTGCTATCTCTTGTAGAGTAAAAGTTTCTTTACTGATGATGAGGATTTCAGGAAATCCACAGTGAGTCTACTCATCTGCATTACAAAGTATGTTCGGAACATTTTTCTTCTACTTCTTCTTAGTTTATTTTATGTGTTAAGCTTCAGTAGTAGTTACAGAAGGACCTTTCGCGTGTAGGAACCATTTGCAGGATGCTTTTGCAAGGGAAATTCTATTGATGACGAAACTTCAGCTTTATTGGTAACCATCATCTGATACTTATTTAATGTTAAGCTGTCTCTGCGACTGCTAAGGTAAATTGTTTTTTGACCGAACAGACTAGTTTTGAGCAGCATACAAACAGAGTTTTACCATAAACCGGCTTTTTTTCTCAGTGAAGTTTCGTCATCATGGTCGTGTCACAGCGGGGTATTAATTTTTTTGCCGATGGCTAAAGGTAGATGAGGTTAATGAACAGTAATACACGGCAGAAGATAAGGGAATACGCGGATCAGAGTAGTGGATAGAAGACGCGATTTCGATTTGTTGCGGCTGACTCAATATTTAGTCAAGGAAATGACAGTATCACCACCGGAGAACTAAGCAAGACTTAAACAAAAGACTGTGAGGAAAAACCTTTCAAACTGTATGTACATCGGTAGCAAATGCGACGGGAACAAACATTTGTTTCGCCACATTAAGCAGTTAAAAACGAAAGATTTGTTATATGGGTGGTATATGTTTTGAGCGTAGTTGAATATTCAGCATGCTTAGGGCGCTTCTCACACGAATGGTGTAGAGCGTAATGTATGCGCGAAAAAGCTCAGTGCCAGTTTTTTAGTAGCAAGTCTTCCTGGAAAGGTCCTTTTGTAGCTGCTGTTTTTTAGTAGTTTTGAGTTTGGAAGACTTGTGCTTTCCTTAATTTTAAATTCTTAGGTTATTGCCGACCACATTGACGCGGAGATGACTTCAAGGGAGGCTAGGGAAAAGGTAGAGGACGAATTAAATCGTAACGGAGTCGAAATCAGAGACATTTTTGTGATTCGAGGGAAATCTTACCGTCCGGAATCTCCTGAGTTTGTTTCCTATGACTTCTTTTGCAATGCCTGTTCTGCATTGCTTTTTAAGATTCTTCTGATTCAATTTTTTGGGTTTTTGGAATTTAAAAGCCGTTTTTTGATTTGGTTGCTATGACTCTCGTTATTTTGTATAAATTGATTGAACTCTAGCGTCCTGTAACGCTCTGTACGGTGTGTATCCAAAAAGTTCCTACCATTCCTCAGTATTACAACACTTTGATTCTCCGAACTTTTTTTATTGTTTTCTTCTAATAAGGAATTTAAAACCTTGAAGAAAAGTTATGCATTTTTGACAGTTGGTAATTCGAGGTTTTTTAGACGTAGAAAGGAGTTTGCTGACCGCATAACTAAATATTTAAAAAAGGCCATGGGAAGACAGAATTTGATTTATGGGAGATCTGAAATTGATGGCTACTCTTTGAATGAGGAAAATGGTAATTCTGAGGACTTGCCTAGTGCTGCTGAATAATTGTTCTGCTGTTCTTATAGCGCTTTTTCTAGGCTCACCTGCCCTACCGTTTACAGTCAACGTGTTACCTGTGACGGATGCGCGCGATTATGAAATGATGGCTGAAGTTGTGTTTGATTCCTTCGAAAATTTCGACAGAATAACAGCCGTTTTTGTTAATGAAATGACCAATCATATTCCGCTTTCGATGGGGCTTGATAACAACAAGCGTACTGTTAGTTTCCATTTAAAACTTTTTTTGCATCCTCACTGATTCCTGTACCTTAACGCTTAGTTTTTCAAACCACTAGGTTTTATGAGTGCGGATTTTCAATACAGAATACTTTGAAACACTCAGTAACAACAAAGTTTTGCGTGTAGTATTTTTCACAGATCCTCATACTTATATA